GGGAGGGCTGGCATGCAGGAAACAGGCTGTGGTCAGGAAGTAGGCGCCAAGGCTGGGCCAGGGGGCCCGCAAGAGGTCCAAGAGGGTTGCTGGTGAGGGGGGCAGCAAGCTGGTAGAACTCCAATGGTCACAGCAAGCCATGTCTCTCAGTCCTTCCCGGATCCCAGGGGGTAAACTGAGGCCCGAGTTCCTTTCCAACCAGCCCAGTTCAGTCAGTGCTCTGGGAGGAGTAGCGTAGAGGCAGCTTGACCACAGGAAGAACGAGTGGACGAAGGCTCTGGTGTGAAGTCCCACATTTGCTGGAAGCATTGGGGAGCCGGCCCCTTGCAGACCAGCACAGGGTTAGTGTGTGGTGCTGGCCCCAGGGACCACAGCTCAGTCTGGTGGGCAGGCATGGCGGGCAGCCCAGAGCAGGTCGGGCACGACACCGGCGTGCAACTGCAAGATGGAGCCCACGCTGAGCAGGTGCATGATCTGGTGGGAGTTGCCCCAGTAGTCAAAGCGGCCAGGTCCCCAGCGCTCGGGCAGGCGGGCCACGTTCACCAGCCCCCCGAGCAGCGCCAGCGCGTCCATGCGCAGGTAACAGGGCAGGGAGCCTGGGGCCCCAGAGCCCAGTCCCACCCCCCGGGCCCCAAACACCAGGAGACGAGCTCCAGCCTGCCAGCCAAAGGCGCGGAGACGGGCGCTGGTCGACGGGGCAGTGAGGGCCCTCCAGCCAGCCACCCCCGAGAGCACCGTGTAGCCCAGCAGAGCGGCTGGGCGCAGCCAGGGCCTGCAGGCCAGTGTACAATGGATAATGGGCAGGGCTCCTGCAGAGGAGAGGGAGAGAAGGGCATTAGTCAGGGTGCTCCCTGCCCTTCTGCCCCCTGGACTACCACTACACGCCTCCCCTCGTCCCCAGCCCACCTCCTGGCTCACCGAGTGTGTTGACCAAGCAGACGCCACACATGTCCAGGGCCAGGAGCCGGGCGTACACAGGGCTGCCCCCTTGGTGGCACATGAAGAGGTGGTAGAGCACAGAGCCAGCAGGGGGTGCCAGGCAGGCCACACAGTGTGTGCCCCCAAGCCAGCCGTCCTTACCCAGCTGGCCCCAGGGCACAGTCATGGGCAGCAGCACCAGGAAGCCTAACAAGGCCAGCCCTAAAGAGGCAGAGAAGAGAGCAAGCCATCGGACTGTGTCCCAAGCACCAGGCTGCACGGGGGATAAGCCATGGGTGGAGTTAGGGTGGAAGGCTGGATCACCCCAAATAGTCCTCAGTCTTGTGACAATACCCACAACAGTTCCATCGGTCGGCTATAGCTACCAGCCAGATGTGAGGCCTGCAGCCCCCCCACTAGGGCTCACACCAGTCCCAGGAACCAGAAACCATGACCTCCGCCTTGCAGAAGCGGCTAAGCAGCCGGCCCAAGGTGAACCCGGCAAGGGACAGACATGGCCAGCATGACCCCAGGCCCCTCACTCAGCAGAGGACCCCAGCTAGGCCTGGAGGGCTGGCAGAAGCCATAGCAGGTCCTGACCTTAACCCACCAAATAGGACGAGTTAGCAGTGACACTAGACCCTGAGCCACTCGGCCCCCTCCTGTGACCTGTGCCCCATGAAAATGTCTGGGGAAATGAGACTTGGACCTTTGGTCTTTCTAGGACAGCCAAAAGGAGAAGCTGGAGTCCCCCTGCCCTCCGTCCCCAGGCACTGCTTCTGGGACGGAGAACCCACTGAGATCCCCAGCCCAGCCCCCTCTTGGCAGAACACCTTGGCACTGCCCTCCCGGGGCCAAACAGGGTCTCCCGGCCATGCACTGTTAGTTGTGGGGCCTCCTGGGGCCCCAGTCTGGCCAGGTCCCAAGGGCAGCTGCTCTGGGCCCCTTTCCTGTTGGGGCAACTCAAGGACAGGCAGGGCTGTGTCAGCAGAGCCAGGCTGCCACAGAGGAGGAGCTGGGCGCCTGCTGGGGGAGGAAAGAGCCGCCACCAGGCGGAGCCTCCGGGCTGCTGGGGTGGGGGCTGCCCACGAGGGAGGGACTGGGCCGGCCGGGCCAGGCTTCTCTCCCAGGATTCCTCCTAACAGACAACACCCAACACCCGGACGCATGCTAGCAGGGGAGGGTGCCCGGGGCGCCGAGATTATGCAGGGCGGGCACCAGCTTCCTTCCCCAGGCTCAGACGGATTAGACAAGCGCGGGCCCCACTCAGCTCCCCTCGCCTGCCCCGCAGCCCCGCCAAGGGAGTGAACGCGGGCCGAGCCACCCGGGACAATGACAGCTTTGTCGCCGCGGCTCCCGGCGGTGCCAGGGCCAGTGGCGCGAGCTCACCGTGCGTGTAGATGTTGCCCAGCTCGTTGTGCAGATAGAAGAGGCTGCGCAGGCAGCCCGAGCCGCTGCTGGCCGGCCGGTAGCCGGTCAGCACGAACTTGTTGAACTGCAGGTGCGGCGGTGAGCTGGCCCAGTCCAGCAGGCGCGGCCCGGCCAGGAACGCCATGGCCCGGGGGCAGTCCCGCTCAGCGGCGCCGCGGCGCCCGGACG